TTTTACTGTCTATTTATAGCTGACATATAAAGAAATAGTTGAGACTAATTGATGATAGGAGCAAAGTAACAAAAACAACAACAAGAAATTTTGTAGAAGAAAGGCATATAGTTGAGATGCATTATTGCAATTCTTTTAACTGGATATCACTCAAATAATAATAGTTTCCCAATATCATAGATTTTTAATTATTTTTTGTATTGATTTTATGACTCAAAACAATTGTGTTAAATAAAAATATAATTAAAGGAGAATGTAAAAATAGTCACAGAAACTAAGACTTGCTCAACAAAAACAAGTTAGTCCAAAATAAAAATAGACAATGGATAAATTAGACACAAGTTAAATTTCTTGTTCTTCCAATTAAAAATAGTAAAGACTGTATTTCTTAAAAGTTTAATTAACTAATTGGTTAATTAATAATACTCTTCATTTCATGAACAAAATAGTATTGTTTAAAGAAAATGGGAACTTGTCAAGTGTTTAATATAAATGATAAAATAATTGACAAAAATAACCTCCAAGTAACAATAAACAGAATATACTTTAAAGCAATAATTTAATGAGTTGTAAGTTAAAGCATTGCTTAGTTGTGGTTCTACTCATATTAATATGATATTTTGTTAATATTAAAAATAAATTAAATACATTTGATAGAATAAATTAAATACATTTGATAGGTATTAAGATTTAAAATATTTGTCTATGAAAAACAATAAGCGTGATTATTTTATATTATGTGTTAAGTAGTTAAAGTATAATTCATGAAATTTCAAAGACATAAATCATTTATTTAACCATAAGATTGTTTAAAAGTGATTTAAAGTAATAAGACAAAAATAAAGTCATATAAGAGTTGTTTAAAAGAAGGTATGAAACAACTAACATTTGACAGTATTGAATTTAAAAAAAACTAAAAATAAGAAACTACAAGAAAACTTCTTGAAATAGAGAAGAACTACCATATAAACAAAATAAAGGAAGTATAAGACAAAAACCAAACAAAAAGAAAGGAATGTTATTAAATAGCGAAGATAGAAATAACTAATAAAAACAAACAAGAACAAAAATGAAAATGTAATATAGAAATAGATGAGATAGAAAAAAAGAAAATAAATAATAAATAATAAAAAGAGTAAGAGATATACTGTAACAAAGAATAACAAGGAAGAAATTACTATATAAATGAAAAGAAAGGAACTTAAATATATTTTTTAGAATGGGACGGATGATAACTCTGGCAAATATTTTAATAATAATTTCTGTTGTTGCAGGTCATCTTTATTCAACAAATGATTTTGAAGCATTATCAGAATTAGAAGACAAAGAAGATTATAGAGGAGACTCTTTCAATGAAGATGAAACATTTATGGATTATCTTGAAGGAGATGACTTTATGATGGAAGATGACTTACCAGGCATCCAATTGACTAAGAAACTAGCTGAAGGAGCAATTGGGTCTCTTCAGACAGGGGCAATCAGCACTATTGATAAAGAGACAAAGTATCTTGCAGAAAATGGAGACTCGATTTCACAGCGAATGGATAGAATTGGAGATATTGCAGGAAAAACTGCAAATGTTCTTGAGCCAGTTGCAAGATTAACTAATATTGTTGGACCAGGAATTAAAGGAAAATATGGACGTTTAGCTGTAGGAGCAATCAATGGAGCAGCAAAAGGAGCTCGTGCTATTAACTTAGGTGCACGTGGAGCAGCAAGCATAACAAGATATGCCACTGATTTGTCTAAACAATACCAAAACCAAGAAGGAACTCCTGAAGAGAAAGTAAGATTAATGAAAGAAGTAATAATACAAAATGCTAAAGATGAAGGAAAGAAACTTCTTGCAAATGGAGTTGGTGCACTTGCAGGCAAAGCTGCTACTGTTGCGTTTGGAAATAGAATCGTTTCAGGAGGTGGAAAGGTTATAGACGGGGGAATGTTATTAGGAAATAGACTTGTTGGAAAGGGTATGTCAGGAATAGTTGGAAGAGCTGCAAAAGAGTATTTGGCAGAAAAAGTTAATGAAAAAACAGATATGTTTAAAAATAGAGTAACTGACAACGTTGGACAATTCTTAGGTGTTAACCCATCTACTAGTGGAATAGATATTGATAAAATAAAAGAGGGATTTCAAGTAACAAAAGACTTTTACAGAAATGGACAGAGCATGAGTAATGTATTCATGCAGCCTGGTAAAAATAGAAGACTGAGACATAAACAAGAGATGAAACATAAAAAGAGTGTATTACAAAGAACAAACACATTAGAGACAGGAGTTGGTGAAAGAAATTTAACACCTACAACATCAATTTCCCCAGTAAAACATTCAAATAACCAATTACCATCCAATAGAAAAACTGAAAGAGTTGTTTCAGCAAGAGGTAATAGACAAAATTTAGTTAGAAGTACTTCAGTATGAAAATAAATGCATTAATTCATTTTTTTCAACAATTATCATCTTATCAAAATAAACATATAAAAATAAAACTCAATTTTGTTAATATTATTTTTATATTAATTTATACATCTTTAAAAAACGTCTTGTTAAAAAGTTAGTGTAGAGATTGTTTGATTAAAATAGTTAAATTGTTATTATTTTTATTTAAATTTCTGAGTTGTATGAAGATTAACTTATTCATACTCAATTGGAACAAACAATTCTTTGTTTTTACTAATTGGATTTGTATTTTATTTAAGTAATGAAATGAAGAATAAAA